GGGGCGAAGAAACAATTCCCACATGCTCACGAACTCATCAGTCACGTCATCCTCCTCATTCGAAGGATATGGTCTGGTGAACCATTCCGGACGAACTTTTCAACTGGCAAAGGGAGCCATGGTCGAAACAAAGCGCTTTCGCTCCGCAAACATCATTGTGAAGCTGGTGAAAGCCTTCTGAAACTGCTGGCCTTCATCAGTGGGAGTTATCAATGCAAGCCTGGTGCCTTCGACTCTCCTGTTCAGGATTTCAGGAGCCTCTTCGTTAATCTTGTTCTTCTGGGGAAGGAAAGATTCAAAGGTGGCATTGAGCCACAGCCGGAGAAGCCAAAAGGGACCAGATAGCAGCAGGCTCCCCTGTCCCCTATAACCTTAAGTTGAGTCACACCATTACTGATGGACTCATATAAGTTGGTCAAAATAAATTCGACCAGGCAAAGAGGGTATTTGTGGTGAAGCTGCGTCGCGAGCGTCAGCATCTTTTTCATCACCTGAAGTGACTTAGTACAAAAAACAAATCGAGACAACCACATAGCCAAGAAGGCTATATGCTCCACCTCCGACACAGTACTAGAGGCTTTGTCGTGGAAGTGGTCAATAAAGGTGGTGTAAGTGGGTTTTGTAGCAGCAAACCCAATAGCATCCTCAGACAAGTCTTCAGGGTCGAAATAGTCACCAGTTGGTCGAAGGCCAGTGATGGTAGCTATGTCGAATAAAGTGGGGGTCATCATCCCACAAGGAAGATGAAAAGTGAAATATGCGCTATCCCAAAAGTACAATGAAGATACCAGCATGAGGGGACAGTAAGGCAATCCTGTCATCGACAGCATCACCAAGTCATAAATGCCTATCTCTTTCCAGACAGAAGCTTGCGCCCTCTCCATTTTATTCAACCAGTCTGAATATTCAGAAGAGAGGTTAGGGCTGGATCGAAAGATTCGGTTCCCTTTGTTCATGAACTGGAGGTTGATATCCTCTGTAGTCTGAGGATGTTGCTGGTTAGCCGGAGTAGCGTCTTCAGGGTCCTCCCTAGGTTTCTTCGCGCAACCTATGGATCTAAGCCTTGGGTGAGTAGGAAAGAAGGTGCAGTTTTTCAAGGGGTTTTCGACGCATGAAGATAACGGACCAGACATAACATACATGTTTCCACCGTATCTAATGGGAATGAGGAGTTGAGAATCATATTCTTCTCGCCATTCTTTCGTCATGGGTTCAGCGACATACCTATCAATCGAGGAAGAAGGAGGGTTAGTGGAAAATACCTCTGGTGGTTTCTGGACATCATTAGCGTTTTTGGGTTGAGGATTGTTTAGTGCATTAGAGAGAAAATACATTGTTGAGGATTTGAGAGAAAAAACAAAGTTGACAGTACAATGTTGTGAGAAAACAAGGGATTTGGAAATGCTGGAAATGGTAAAAGTTCCAAATAGAAAGGCTTAGAAGTATTTATAGCCTTCAGAAGAGGGATATGTCTCGTCAAGGCCATTTAATGTTTCACAGGTAGTGGAACACGTGGCAAAGTGCGAAACGGTTACCGTGTAGGCATTGGGAAACGTTTTGACATGCTTGCCTAGGTTATAGGAATGTGGTCATCATGGCAAGCGTGGTAACGGCAGTTTGAAGAGACATCTTGGAGAAAGAGTAATGATGGTTTTTCTCGAGTGTAACAGTTGTTGGAATGCGAAAAGCACACGTCAAGACTTGGTGGACAACTGGGAAGACAGGTGTCGAATGGGAAGTTCAAAGAATAGTTATTTCTTTGAGCGTCGAAATAGACATTCTTAGGGGGCAATTTATTGGCTCCCAAATTCGACACTTACTATATTTGGTCTTTTAGACCAAACAACTGGAAAGAACCAAGCCAGGAAGTATGATTCGACACATGAAATAACTTAAGGAAAAGATCTAAGTTATATTGGAATCTTCGACCAAGGGCTCGTTCGACTGAAGAAGACTTATGTCACTCGACTGAGAGAAAGCATTCTCGTTTTGACACATGATACAAGGACTATTTGAATTTTGAGTTATTGGAGGGAAAGGCAGTTTCGCCAGTGTTTAAGAAGAGGAAACGTGGCTGAAAGCCATAGGTCGAGGGACATGCAGAAGACACTTGTCTTCATCCTAGCGCAGAATGTTCCCTCGACAGTTACCTATTTTTAGTATAAATTAAGAAACTTGTATAATTTTCAAGGGTGTTCAACCTATTATACTAAGTCACTCAAACATTATCCAAGTAACTGCTGCGTGAGAAAGCATAAAGCTGAGAAATGTACATTGGAAATACCTTTTTTCCTTAATGGAAGTCTTTTACATTACTTTACTATTATCCTGCAAAGCTATCTTTTTTACTTCTTTTTACTTGCATTTTTATACTTCTGCTTACTTTTCAACAATCTCAAACATCCTTTCTCTGGATCGAACGTGCGTTCTTCCTGCTTACCCATTTTACATAAAAATTAGCATATGTCCTGGGATTAGTTTAATTGATCCTGTAAGTAAACCAAAAAACTTACCTTTTTGGAGATCAGCGGTTGTTTACCAAAAACAACGGTAAACAGGTACACGAGACTTGTGATTCAATTTTGTTTTATTGAGACATATATCTTGTGCAGGATTGTTTGTTTTGATATTCCGATATCGATTGTAATTTATTTTGAGCATGATTTCTGACTTCTTTTTCTTTGATTGGTGAAGCTTCCGCGAAGATTTTAGGGTTTCTTTTGCTTTGATATCACTTTGCTACAGACATTATTGTTCGTCTGGTATTGTTTCTCATACTATTTATATTCCGCACTGTCTTTTAAATTCCTTTCCATGAGAAGTAGGAATAGAGATGCATGACTGGGAGTCCCTACTTTAGGTGGACAATTCTGTTTAAAGTTCTCAAAGGAGACAATATTTGTGTTCGCAAAAGACCTAAAAAATGGGCAACTTTGTGTGTTTATTTAGAGTATCCAAAAAGAGGAAATTCTGCTAAAATCCTCAAAGAAGACAATTCCTCTCTCCTTTTATTTTGTGTTTGCAATCGAGTCAATAAAATTAGAAAGGCTTTGCAATCGGCCCCACACTTTCTAGTCCATGTCATTCTTAGCTCACGTCATACGTTGATGCTTTGAATCGTTTGTCTCTTGTCTTTGAGTCAAACAAAAGTGGAAAAGGATCGCAATCACCCCCCACACCTTGTCATCGCTTCAGCAATCTTAGCTCGTATTTGTTAACGTTGATGCTTTGAGTTGTTACTCAATTTTGTGATTGAACTATTCTAATGGAAGAAGGGTCATTCGACTCATCAACCTTATTTTCATGTACATATAGCTCATGTCTTGAGTTGATGCTTGTTAGCATATTTGTTTGTTTACTTTCTTGCACCCTTGCTTATTCTTTTAAGTTCACCTTTTCATGTTCCCATAGGATCACTTGTTTCATTCTCGATTCAAGGTAGACATTAGGATTGTAATCCATGCATGCTAACTTAGGTAGATGTTTCCCTTTTGTCTCCAAACCTTAGGGCCACTATTGCATGATAACATTAGGATTGTTAGTCTCCCTTAAACTTTTTCATTCCTCTTTTGCATAATTAAAACAAAAACTTATTTTCTTAAGAAAACTCAAAACACTTGATAAAGGAATATGCGAATCGTATGCAGTTGAGTCTTATGGGATAGAGTAAATCAGTTGAGACTGAAGCTTGCTCTATTTTCACTTTCAAACTTTATTACGGTTTAAATCATAAATTGTTTCACAATAAAAAAATATCAACCAATTCAAACCTCTTTGTTTATATACATTATCTCTCACACTATTTAAGTGACATTTTTTATTTTTGTCGATGCCTAGATTGGTTGAAAGGTATGAAAGTTAATGTAATATACAATTTCAGGATTATATATAAACTAGTGTATACAATTGAAAAAACATGTTGAAGGTGCGAGTACAAACCTCACTAGTTGTAAATATTAGTACAATTATTTATTGTTCAATTATACATTCACATGTCACATTATTAATTATTTGATAATATTATTTATTTATTATTTATTAATTATATTCAATTTTTTTTGAATTTTTTTTTATGTAACCAGATAGAAAATATATAGACGTCACATGAATAAATGTTATGTCAAAGTCATGTCACAAAATGAGATGCCAGATACACTGAAAACATAGAAAAAGTTAAATAGAGGAATCAAAAGATTGATTTTTTTTTAAAAGAATTAAAAATTTAAAAGATCAAAATAAAAAGACTTAAAAATACATTTAATCTTTAATTAAATTATTTATTATCGCCAAATTATATTAACGACCAAATAAATAAAACTTTACATATTTTAATAAATTAAAGTTATGTGATTTAACCATTTTTATTTATTTATATTTTTCAAAATCATCATACATTCATTTAAAATTATTTAATAACTTCTTAAATAATTTTAAAATGTTAAAATTAATGGAGATGAAAAAAGCTACTCAATAAAGTTAATAAAATTCATTGTTAATAATGAGTTATAAAGCAAAGAAACTCATATAAAAATTGCTCTTTAAAATCAATGTATATATAAGTAATTTGTTTTATATTTTGCAAATTATTTTTGGTGTGGTATTTATTGTCCATTAAATACCATGAAAAATAAGAAATGTAAGCATGACAAAGTTACCATATTTGAAAGTCATCTTGACCCAATCCTTTTTCTTCTTTGACACACTTTCTCTAAAATGTACTTTTAGATGGTATGAAATACATGTGAAGAAAACGTTTATACCATTTATTTATATATATTGTTGTTGAAATTTAATGTTTATCATATAATTCAAAATTTATTTTTGTTTTAAAAAAAAAACAGACCCATTGTTTTGTTTGCTGGTTTTAAAACATTTTTGCTGATCTATCTTATCTTGATCAGTTTTTATAAATAAAGGCTATACCATCTCACTAATTTTGTTAAATGAATTGAGATAGTGATTTTAATATTAGAGATAGTGTTTAGAGAGAAAAGAGGAGAATGGAGAGAAAAAATTATCCAAAGAATACTTCCAAAGGATCTCATCCATTTTCTTGTTCTGGAATTTTTAATTCTATGTTTTCTAATCAATCACCTTTGGTAATGTTTTAGTACTTCATTTTTGTTGTTCTTTTATTTTAATGATTAATTAAATTTGATCATTTAGGTATTTATTTAAATCATTATGTTGATAGAAGTTTGGTATTTTTTTTTAATAAATGTGAAATATTATTGATATAAATCTGGTGATTTATTTTGTTGAGTTGTATTAATTTTCAGGTGTTAGGAAGAGAATCTGTACGATATGAAGTCAATGACAAGAATGTGAAGAAGACATTAAACTCCTTAATTGAAACTCAAGGTATTATATTATATATCCATAGATTCTCATTTTATGGAACACCATAATATAGTATCATACATGTGGATATAAATTTGTGGGTATAAATTTTGGTAAATGTTAATTTAGATCACTTAATCATTATAAATATGTTCTTATTTTGTGTTGGGATTACGATTTCCTTGTATTCTATTGAGTTTAGGAATTGATCCAAAATAATTATTGAACGAAGATTGTAAAAAAAATTAATAATAATTTTTTATAAAAATTATTCATAATTTTAAGTAAAAAAAAATTATATTTCACCATTATAATTAAAATTTTAATTATTACATTTATTATTTAATTTCATATCATAAATTTATTTTAATATTTAATTTTTAATTATAAATTTAAGTTATTTTTTATTAATAATAACTCGATTTAATTATATTATAACTATATTATAAATAAATATCTTTTTAAAATAAAATTAAAATAAAATAAAAAGAAATTTGAGAAATCTCTCTGAAAATGAAATATAGAGATTTTTTTTATATGCATATGTGAAATAGTCCAATACCCCAAATTCGAAAGGTGTGTTCGAATATCTACATTCGAATAATACTTTTAGATTTTCAAGAGTCTTCAAGAAGACACCCAAGTGAAAAAAATAAACTTTAGTAATAATATGGGTTCGATCTATCGGTCATAATCGCCTTATCTGTATTTTTTTTAAAGTAAATTAAAATTTTAACTTCATATTTTTTAATATGTCTGCTTCGTCCCACTTTATTTTTTTTAAACTTTTATAGACGTGAATATTAATATGAAATTTTGTAATTTTTAAATTTAAAAAAACAATATTCGCGGATTCGTCCTAATAGGACAAAAATTTAAGTCCACATTTTAAATAAAGTTTTCCTAACTTAAATGGGACGGATACGTTTATTTGTGGCATGCAGCTAAAAAGTATTTTATTTGGTATAAATTGATTAATAATAATAATTTGTCTATTGATAACATGGTGAGGACGATTATTTCTCTTTCCTAAAAGTGAATCTAGTATCATCTTTCGAGTGACTCTATTTCTATTAAGGATCAGTAGTGAAATCATATCCTTATGCTTAAGAAGATGATGCATTGTTTGTTACTCTCTTTAAACTTAGGGGTAATCTCATTTATCCTTCTCTTAGCTTGATGTTTCAAAGTTTTTGTTGTTGTTGTTATTGTTTATTTTTATGTGCTGCTTTGTATAGTTTTTTTTCATTTATAATATATTTTTGAATTAATAGTTATTTTGCTCCTATCATATAGAGAGTTTTATAAAAAATCTTATAAAATAAAAAGTTTCAAAATTTTTTCTACTATAGAATGATTTTTCTATTTTATCCTTTCAAAAAATTTAAACATAAAAAATAATAACTTAATAATTTTTTTTTCAAAAATCGTTAATTTCGCAAGAGATTTTTTAAAAAATCACCAATTTGACAAGGGCAAAATAACTATAAATCATTAAAAATAATAGACAAATTATATAAAATTTAATAGATTATTAATAGATAAACTTATTAAGAAGGCAAAATAAGAAAATCTTTATATAACAAAGAGATTTTTGAAAAAAAATTTACAAGACATTTTTTTAAAATTCATCTATATGACTAAGAACAAAATAACTACTAATTATATATATATATATATATATATATATATATATATATATATATATATATATATATATATATATATATATATATATATATATATATATATATATATATATATATATATATATATATATATATATTTCAATTTTAACTTGTTTTTCGTACATACAGATGATATCTCGGAGAACAACCAAGAAAGTGAAGCACATAATACAAAAAATAACAATAGAAGTTCCATCTACCATGATCAAACAACCCATCCATGTAACATCAGTTCATCTATATACTATGGTGGTCAGGACATCATTCCAAACACTCAGAGTACACACAATGCAGGAACAACTTCATTTGTGAGTACCTACTAATACATATTTTTTTAAATTATATTTCCTCCGTTCTCTTTTATAAGAAAATTTTAAATTTTTAGATTCATGAAATAAATAGTGTATTTGGACTATATATAGACTGGATACATTAATTGTTCAATGAATCTAAAAAATTAAAATTTTCTTATAAAAGAGAATGGAGGGACGGAGTATACTTTTCAAATTGAATTTATATATATTTTCGGTATATTTTATTTTATTCTTAATATCAAAATTTTTTTCAGTTTAATTAAGAGTTATGGAACTTAATAATCTTAGGTTTATTTTATTTAATGCTGAAATTTATTTTCTAGTATCAAAATGCTAATATGAATTTTTATCTTATACCAAAGAATAATTGGGAAAAGGATGATTCAGGAGCTGCCTCAAGAGGAGATTGGTGGAAAGGTATTTTATATTTGTCAAATACTCATTCTAATTGTTATAATAAAACAAAATTATATTTATTAAATTACACACATATATATATATATATATATATATATATATATATATATATATATATATATATATATATATATATATATATATATATATATATATATATATATATATATATATATATATATATATATATATATATATATATATAAGGAAAGTACATTTATTGTTTAAAAAAAGTTTCTTTTTGCTAACATTCTTTGATTTTTGTTGTCTTCTCAACTTTAAATCAATAGGGGGACTTTATTATTAAATTTATCAGTGCCAACAATATAAGCATATATGCTTTACAAGGTATTTATCATCTTTTGAGAGCTGTAGTTTTTGTTTTGTTAAACGTGTATGAAGTGTATGGGAATTGATTTTGAATTAATTCATTTTTAGATATTTTGCATTAAAAAATATTAAAATTGTGTAATTACTTAAGAGAGTTTGAACATTTATATAAAAAGCGATAAATATTTCAACCTCAACTCAAAAAGTTCAATTAGGGGTATAAAGGTTACTTTAAAGTGTTGGTTAAGTTTGAACTCAAATATAAAAAATAAAAATTTAAATTAAATAATCTTGATTACATGTTTCTTTTTCTAAATAAATTAAATTAAAATAATCTTGATTACATGCTTTTTTTTCTCTCTTTTAATTTAAAAATAAATATAAGATTTTTTTTTTAATTTCGTATGTTAATGTTCATTTTAATGTTTTAATTAAAAAAAATTATATTAATTCTTTAACTCTTCAAAACGCTTTATTTAAATTCTTTTTATCTAATCAAGAATGATTTTAACGATTGATTTCTGAAGTTTTCCGTCGTTAATTAAATAAAAAAGATTAAAATAAAGCGTTTTAAAAAATTAATAGATTAATATGAATTTTTTAAAAATTAAGAAACCCTAATGGAATAATCGAAAGGACTAAATATAATCTTATTTATAATAGAAAACATTTTATATAATAGGACACAATCGAATGAATATTGATACACGTGATTATACAATCTTTATTAAATTCTAATTAGATTTCATACTATACATATTAAAATTTTGATTTTAGAGTATGATATTTATTATTTGAATGGATGTTGCAGGCACAGCAGGATAATCTGGCAGTAGAATCATAATATGAAGATTCAATCATTTTAATTTTCTATTTATTGTTATGTGTACTATGCTCAAACATCCTATTTCAGAGCTCATTAGACCTTGAAGTAATTTAAGTTAAAGAAGAAACTATATAATATTATGGAGTCTTTATTGGAAGGTAGATATTTAAATCATATCTTTTTACTTGTAAGTTTTTCTTCAAATGTGGTATAAGATCTATAATTATAATGAAATTTATAAAAGTTTAAAATTAAATATTTTTTCTCTTGGTTATCCATAGATGGATGTGAAACCTTAAAATTAATATAATTTTAAATTTTATTTAATTTTTGAATCCACCGAAAGATTTAGACATATCTTAAGATTAGAAGTTAATTGCTAAAATAAATGAGATTAAACAATCTAAAAAATTGATAATAAAAAAAAAGTTAACAAGTTTCTGAGATATTTTTAAAAAAATCAAAATAAAAAATATATTATTTTAAAAAATTAATTATTTTAATTTTTAATAGGTAAAATATTCATTTTGATTTCTTAAAACTATAGGTTATAGTTCACTTTGATCCCTTATCTTTTTTTCGTACCAACTTAGTCTTTTAATTTTCAAAACATAACCACGTTAATCCTCTCATTAGTAAACCGTTAGTCAAAATCCAAAAACATACACCATGTGACAATTGACTTGCTGAAGTGGATAAGTGGAGTCCACGTGACAAATGAAAGGAAAGGAAAACTCATTGTAACATGCCGTAAAAACACTAACATGTAACTTCTAAACTTCCATTAACAACCACAAATTCACCGTCAATCAAAAACCACCAACATCTCATACAACAAAAAAACCTTATTTCCATGAACATCATCATTCTGGTTTCAACAATTCCAAACTTCAATAGCATATCATACCATTACCAATTCATCACCATCACCATTAATTTTCCAATAACCTGACCTTCATAACCAAAACAAAACAAAATTCAAACAACAATAAAAAATTGTTGGTGCACAAGGTTAATAAATGAAGTAAAGAAAAGAGATAATATATTTACTGCGATGACAGTTATAAAACTTACAAAATGAATTATACCAATGATTGCTAGTACTAGTCTATTTATACACAAAGTAAATTGTCATGTAGGCCCTAAAAGGTAAACTTAATGACTAAGTTAAAAGGTACAAACTAGGAAATACTAAACTTAACAGCTACGATGACAAACTCAGAACCCAGAAGCTGAGTTGAACATACTTCTGGATGTAATCTTAGAAGCTTCTGCTTCTGACTAACAACAACTTCTTAATATATCAAACTACTGCATCTAACTAAGCAGTCTCAGAAGCTTATAACTTATAGCTAACAACCTTAGAAGTTCAACTTCTTATGAGCAACAACATCTTATGAATATGAATTACTTCTAACAACATCCCTTAATTCATATTCAGCTAACCAAAACTCTTCAACACCAATTGCATCCCTCAAATGGATAAAGTTTTCAATCTTGATATCCTTTATCAGAACATCTGCAAGTTGTTTCTGGTTGCTACAATGTGCAACTTCTATTACTTCATTTAGAAGTGCAGATTTGTCCTTGAGAACCGATCTGACGCTGGTGTTTTTCTTCTCCTTCGGAAGCTCAGTTAACTCTCAAGTCTTATTTCTTTCAATAACATCAAGCTCTTCTTTCATGAACTTCAGCCACACTTTCTTCTTGAGAGCTTCACAGGTTGACAACACAACCACCGGTTGCTTCTTGGAGCACCAAGAAATAGGACTTTCCATATATGAACAAAAATATCCAAAAGTATTTCTTCTGTCAACTCTGTCTTCATACAAATCAGAGTCTGAAGAGCATATCAGCTCTGCATCTGATCTAACACCAGAAGGGAATAACACTCCATACCTCAGAGTCCCTTCAGTATCTTTCAGCTTGTCAAACTCTGCAAATCTCCTTGTATATTTCTGACTCTATGTGGCCTCTGAACTTGTTTAGAATCTCCTTCTGATTCTGGAACAATATCTCCTTCTGGACTTTCTTCAGAAGTTTGACTACCACGAAAAGCTCCACCTTTGTTAGCTTCTGGACCTCGTTCAGAACCACTATCTTCAGAAATACCATCTTCAAAAGTTGGATCATCTTCAGAAGCTTTGCCTTCAGAAGTTCCACCTTTAGAATCATGTCCTTCATCAGAGGCCGGATTTCCTTCAGAAGCTCCTCCTTCAGAAGATCCATCCTTAGAGTCATGTTTTCCACCAGAAACATGTTCATATTTAGAAGCTTGTCCTCCATAACCTAAGTCTTCAGATTTTTCCCTTCTAGAAGCATGATCACCACCAGATTCTGGATCATCATCAAAATCTATATCATAATCAGATTCACCATCTGACTCATCTTTAGAGTCTCTAAAAGACTCTTCATCTTCTGACTCTGACTCACCTTTAGAACATTCAAGTTTTGGCTCATCTTCAAAAGCAGAATCTTCTTCAGATTCTGACTCATCTTCAGATTCTTCTTTAGACTCAGAATCACCTTCAATTTTTGACTTGTCTTCAGCTTCAGAGTCATCTTTTAACTCTGACTCATCTTTAAAAACCTTAGATGCTGACTCACCTTCAGAATCTTCAGCATGATCTTCTGATTCTGACTAATATTCAAACACTCCTTCAGAGTCTGAATATTCAGAGTCATCTTCTTCCCCTTCAGAATTAGAAAATGACAATTTCACAGGTTCCTCATTAGATTCATAAGCCATTAATAGCACATGTTCATCATCCGAATCTTCTCTGGCTATTTTTGCTTCTTCTTTGTTTGACCAACAATCTTTAGCAAAGTGGTCAAACCTATTACAACAGTAACATTGAACCATTCTCTTGTCATACTTCTCCTTTCTCTTATGATGTTTCTTTTCATCAGAATAGAAGACATTTGACTTCTGAGACCTACCATGTTTTCTCTACTTCTGGTCCTTCTTGACAAAATAAGCTTTTAGAGCCTGCTCAACATCCCTCTCATAAGTTCTTTCAGTCTGACACAACTCTTACGCCTCTAGACTACTTTGCAGGTATTCTATTCTCAAGGTTTCCAGATCTTTAGAATGTTCAATTGCTATAACAATATAATCAAATTAAGGAGTAAGAGACCTCAATATCTTCTCAATGATTACTTGTTCAGAAAGGGTTTCTCTAAAAGCTTTCATCTAATTAGTGATCATAATCACTCTAGAGATGTACTCAGAAACCTTCTCGTTGTCCTTCATGTTAAGATTCTCATATTTCTTTCTTAGGGACTGAAGCTTTACCTTGTTCACTGATGAGTCACCACCGTAACATTGGACCAGTATATCCCACCCGCCCTTTGACATCATCAAATCTACAATCTTCTCAAACACGTTCACATCCACACACTGATGGATGTAGAGCAACGCCTTCTAATATTTCTTCCTCTTGTATCTTTGTGCATTTCTCTACTCTTCTATTGCGTTTTCTAAAACTGGAACATAGCCTTCAGTAACAAGCTCAAGATCATCTTGAGCACCGAACAACACATACATCTAAATCATCCAACGATTACAGTTCTTGCATCAAAAACAGGAAGTTTGGTACTCGGATTTCTATTTAAGTTCATCCTTAACCTTGTACAACTCACTCAGATCTCACAAGCATAATGTTTTCCAACCCCACAGAATCAGAAAAAATGTGATTATGCTCAGATTTTGTTCAAGATTCAACACGAATTCAAGAACCAAAATCAATCACACAACGTCTTACCGTTTCACTCATGTTTCCCGTGAATATAATTGAGGCCTTAGATACTAATTGTTGGTGCACAAGGTTAATAAATGAAGTAAAGGAAAGAGAGAATATATTTATTATAATGATGGCTATAAAGCTTACAAAAGGAATGATACAAATAATTTCTACTACTAGTCTATTTATACACAAAGTAAATGGCCACGTAGGCGCTAAAAGGTAAATTTAATGACTAAGTTAAAAATTACAAACTTGGAAATACTAAACTTAACAGCTACGCTAACAAAATCAGAACCCAGAAGCTGAGCTGAACATACTTCTGGATGTAACCTCAGAAGCTTATGCTTCTCACTAATGTCGTACCCCAAATTTTCCCTACCATTTACTTTTGTATGGCTTGGACTT